TGGCACCGACAGTTTTTTTTTTTTTCAGTGAGGTTTCTAACATTTCAACTTTTTTTTGACTTAAACTCTTGAATCTCCCTGAGTTCATTCTGAACACAGTCACAACCTTTGATATTTAATTTTAAAGAGATGGATATTCAAATAGGGAAGTGGGCTACATGACATCTCAACCGTCATTCTATGCTTAGAATTCTTCGAATATCCAAGGGGGTACATTTTAATATCTGACAGGTCCCTGATTCTGACAGTCAAAACTTTGAGCAAAAGAGTCCCCAATGTTTAGCTTCCAAAGTATAAATATCCTCACCTGCTACGAAGTCAAAGCCAATCAAATCCCAGTCTGGAACTCTAGCTGCAAGGGAGTCCCGGGAATCTATCTGTTTCCATTTCCAGGCTCTGCAGGAAGGTGGAATGAAAGTTATTTGGCTAAACCGTTACTCAAGACATTTTCAGATACACAAGAACTAAAACTTGACTACCCACAGGGTCTCTGCTAAAGGATGTATTGCAACAAGATAAAAAAAAGTGAATCCTATGAAAATGAACGTTTTAAGAAGTGATGTAAAACTTCTAAGCCCTGAGTGAAATCCCATTTGATCTGGGCCTTGGTGACTGAGAGCAGGGCTTAGCAAACTTTTCTGTAAAGGACCAAAGAGCCAGTATTTTCAGGTTTGAAGGCCATATGATCTCTGTCATATATACTCAGCCTTGATGTCATAGCACAGAAGCATGACAGTGGTGAACACATTCACATAAAACTTTGTTTACAAGACCATGTGGAGAGTTGGGTTTGGTCTATAGGGCATAGCTTACTGATTCTGGGCTAAGAGGATCACCAGGTGTAGAACCATAAAGACCATTTCTGGAAAAAGGGAGGGGATCCACTCATTGAGAAATTGCATGATGTGATCGTGGGAAGGCAACACCCCCTGAGGCTAACTTACAGTGTACACGGTGGAAGGGGCAACACACAAGCCTTCGAAAGGAAGCTGAGCCAGATGAAGAAGGCCCTTGTGTTACAGCTTCATGAGTTGCTATAGAGAGTCAACAGAGAAGAGTGTGTAGAAAGGTTTTGCCGTGATATGTGGGTTTTAGGAAATACTCTTAGCAGTGTTGTATAAAAGTGGGCTGGAAAGACAGAGGCAGGTAACCCAAGGCCAACAACAACTGAATGATGGGTTTACCAAAAGTAGAGCAGGGGGTTTGGGAGAAAAAAGGAAGGATAAATTCAATAGACATTTGAGAGCTGAGATCAGCAGGACAGGTGACCAGATGGTAGCAGATTACATGTGAGGAAGAACAGAGCAGAAGGAAGAGTTGTTGAGGGCAGAGGAGGGTCCTAGGTAGACGGAGTCAGGTAGAGAGAGAGGGCAGTGTTCACAAAGGGAACCCCAATTGAGCAAGGAACCCGTATCTGTACCACGTCTTCTGGCTACTACTCGATACAGAAATGACAACCGCTCTTGTCCCTGTCCATTTCCTGTCAGACTCAGGAAGCTCTGAAAACTTCATAAATAGGACCTGACCCTGGGAATCAGATTTCCACATAGGTCAAACCCATTCCCCCTGGCTCCTACCCGGGAACATCCAAATAGCTGGAAATTTGAAAGTTGCAAGTTAATTCCCCCAGACTTCTTCAGCGGCACTGTCTTCCTGCCAGGCGTGGAGATGCTGCCAGTCAAAATCAGCATCTTTGTTCTGAAAAAGTACTCTGTAACACTAAAGGACTTCGTGTTTCTTATCCAAGAGTTTTCCCCCAATTTCACCATCTTGATGGGCCACCGAAGTGGGAACTCCCACGTTGGTCACCTTCTGTGGACAAACCACCGGAGAGAGTGCCGATGACGGAGCTCTGCACGTGTCCATCTAATCAGCCCACATCGTCTTCTTCCTGCTTCCCCGTGGGAGCAGCCCCCAGTGACAGCCCCATCTGTGGTTGTCTCTGCTGGGCCAAGCTCTGGACACCTCACATCACCATCAAAGAGAGGTTTCATTTGAAACAGGTCACTGGAAACGCTTGAGATACAACATTAATGCAAACAAATCAATATGCTATTGTGTCCTCAGAGTATGAACACAGCTGTCTGGGAAAAAAAGGGAGGGAAGGAGGGAGGGAGGGAGGAAGGAAGGAAACCCAGGAGCTGACATTGACAGGCTGCTACTGCTGCATCTGGTACCACCAGACCCATTACCAACACCGTTGTCCATGTAGCTGCCAAAGATGCTTCCAGAACAAACAGAAGCAGAAGAGAGTTGTTTCTGCCTCCTCCCATTTTCCTGCCAAGGCTTCCATTTGGCAAAACCTAACTGGAAGACAGCCAGCCGGCAGAGGATTCTGGGAAATCTAGTTTGATCCCTCGTAGGACACACACTTTAGGTTCTGGTTCGGCAGTTGATCTTGGCTTGACCTTGGCAGCATCCGACCTTTGACTTTGGTGCTAGAAGTTCTAGGTGGTGGTGCAATGCCAGTATGATGCCTAGCTCTCTTGAACAACCTTTCTTTTCTTGTTTTTGCCCCAAGACACTTCTGCTGTGTAACTGAATATTAACATTAAGCTAACGGGGCATTTTTATTCTTTTGCTTTGAAGGCAATGTCTCAGCAATACCCAGGTGTAATGTTTGCCACCGTGGATGTGGACGAGGCTCGGGTAAGAATCTGAAGTCCTTCCCTGGAGATAGTTAAATTCGATGCAATGTCATTAAGAGCATGGTCTCAGCATTTAGATCATCCATTTAAAGTCAAGGCGAATTTCACAATTTTTTCTGGTGAAGTGTAGTCAACTCCTTCATAAAGCTCTTTTATATATATATATACATACATACACACACATCTTTTTTTAAGATAGCAAATATGTAGTTCTCCTGCTGCGCCTTCCCTTCCCACACTATGGGTGAACTCACTAACCAATCTCAGTATTCTTCACCACTTGCTCTGGATGCCGCCCCACAGTCCTGCTCAGCAGAGCGGCTCTAGGCAAACAATACCAATTGGATGGAGTTGGGCTCAAGGTAAAAAAAGATTTTCTGTAACAGATTCACCTATAGTAGATTTGCTAATCAATTTCTAATGCCTAACTCAATGCATGACAGACATTTTAACATACCTTGCTTTCCTCGTGCTCTGTCTTAGGCTTTTTGTGGAGTTTTTTAAACATCATGAGGAGTTCCAGGAACTCCTCCCCTGAAGTCCCCGGAGCCTTTCTTCCTCACCTCCACCCCACCCCCAAAATAACCAGCCTGGCATCCTTAATCAAAATGTGCTTATTATGACACACAATGTGTCTACAAAATTACTCTTCCTAACATTGGTTCATTTATAAACATGAAAAGTAACAATAACAGGTGGCCTGTGCATACACTGGATTGAATTTGAGTTTTAGAATCACAAGAAAAAAATACCTATTATTCACCCATTCTGCCCTATCATAGTTGTGTGACTTTTGACTTCTTATCAGTTCATCTCTATAGACTTCAATTTCTCAGATGTAAAACAAGGTACTAATACTTAACAGACTAGGAAAAGATTTTTTTTAAATACCCCAAATATATGCCATACTACCCAGAACATACTAGAAGTTCCATTTTTCCATTTCATTCAAAAGCATGACAGTGTTTAATTGCTCTTAAGGCTGAATCATATGCATTTGGAATACACAGCGAGGATCATTGTCTTTTTGTCTTTTTTATATTCACAGAGTTGTGCAACTCTGACTACAGTCAGTTTTGGAACCTTTTTACTTACTACAAAAAAAAAAAAACACAAAAACCTTGTCCCTTTAGCAGTCACCCCCAGTTCCCTCCCCCAACCACCCCGATCCTAGGCAACCACAATCTACATTGCCTGTAGATTTGCCTATTCCGGTCATTTCATATAAGTGGAAGTACAGAATTCATGGTCTTTTGTGACTGGTTTCTTTCACTTAGTGTAAGTTTGCAAGATTCATCCATGACGTAGCATGAATAGTTTCTCCATTTCCTTTTATTCGTGAGTAATATACCACCTTTTATTTTTCCATTCATCCTTTGGATGGGCATTTGGGTGGTTTGCAACTTGAGCTATTATGAAATAATACTGGTATAAGCATTTGTGTATACATTTTCATTTCTCTCGGCTATGTCTCTAGGAGTGGAATTGCTGGGTCCTGTGGTAACTCTGTTTAACATTTCGAGGAACTGACAGATTGTCTTCCAAGCAGCTGCACCGTTTTACATTCCCTCCAGCAACCTGTGAGGGTTCTGATTCCTCCACACCCTCCCTGACATGCCTTACTGTTTCCCTTTTTGCTTGTAGCTCTTTGTCTTTTACAGTGAAACAAAATACACAATTTTCTAATCGTAATTTATTCAGTGTTGTCATTGCTCTGGTCATGAAGATTATCATTTTGTGTGTGAGGGTGTGTGTGTATGTTGTGGGTGGCAGGGAAGAGATTTGTTTTGATCCTATGGGTGGCTAATTTTCTTTCGACTCTTAGGATAGATAAAAAGGGGCATTTGAAATCAGACTGTAATGGATGAAAACAATTGGAATTCTGACATATTTTCTCGTCTCTTGGCTCCAAATCTTTCACAAAGCTGGGCAGTGAAGAGTCGTAAGGCTTAAAGGAAAGAAACATGTAAGATTTACTTAAAGTGCAAGGCATTCTATCACCCCGTGTCTCAAGTGTGAGTTATAGAGAGACCTTTACTCATTCTTATTTTTCACAAGATGCTCTTTCCATATTGGGTTCCACTGGGGCCCTTCTACAATCTTTCTCAAGCTCTTTTCAGTAGAGCTCATTTCGTCCTTCTGTCCATTTTGTTTTGGCCCCCGTCTCTTACCCGTCTCCTCAAGCTCCTTGATGAGAAATTCCAGGAACAGTCATTTTCTACTTTCACATTCCTGGAGGCTTTGTGGATATGTTAGAAAAGTTCCTGGCAGGAGAATCTGTAAAGTATCAGCTGTCCCTTGGCTTTCAGGCCTGCCTCCTGAGAAGTCACCAGGAACCATGCTTGGTCCAGAGAGAGGATACCAGAATTGTGACTTCATTCTGTTTCTTTTCCTTCCCAGGAGTTGGCCGAAATTTATCACGTCAAAGCAGTACCCACATTTCAGATGTTCAAGCAATTCCAGAAGGTATGTTTCCATAGTAACCAGTAGATTGAAATAGATTATAGAACCATCAGAGTCGGGGAAAAAAAAAAAGGCCTGGGGTATCCTGGATGGATGAAACAACTGTATATATTTTTAATCTTAGCCATGTGATTTTTAGTTTATGAACTTTACATATTGGTAAGGAAGGGGTTAAAAAAAAATAACATGAATTGTAATCAATCTCCCCATTCAGACCATATGAGGTGTCCCTATCTATAAGAAATACCCCACTATCATCGCTATCTGGGTCCAAACCATCAAAAAAGAATCTTACCCATAAGACATAATTAAATTCTTGCACCAATGTTTACAAGTTGTTCACAACACTTGGGTGAATGTTAATCCCATGCTATCACAAGGCAGTATAGCCTAATGGCTTCCCACCTCCTAGCAGTTTACTTAACAAGCTCTTTGTGCCTTAATTTCCCTATTTGTGAAAACACAGATCATAACACGTTTTTCCCTCTCATGGGGTTGTTGTAAAAATTAAGTGAATTAGCATGGCTAAACTTTGTAGACCCATCCTGACATGCATTAAGTGCTCAATAGCTCATGTTAGCTGTCATCTTGAAGATATTAATGGAACAAAATGTCTCTCATGTTAGCTGTCATCTTGAAGATATTAATGGAACAATATGTCTAAACTACTGGGTATGTGATGAAACTAGTAATTGTATATATGCCTGGGAGCATTGTCAGTGGTGCGTATCTTATGAAAAGTGATTTTGCAACATACTTAAGAGGAACAAACTGTGCATTCCCTTCCCCACATTATCCCACTCCTGGGGACTCTGGCTACAGAAGTGCCTCATGGAAAAATAAACAGCTAAGTGTTTAGTAATCGTAGAATTATTTCTATTACAATATGGAAATCATCTAAATGTCTTTTTTTTTAGTAGAGTGGCTAAGTGATTTATGATCTATCTATGCAGAATAGTACACAATGAAAAAGAGTTATGAAGACTATATGCAAAGTAAAACAAATTTCTTACTTAAACTTTGTAAAGATTATGTCTGTCGTATGGAGAATGAGAGCATCTGATAAGCTAGCTGTAGGATTTTCAGTTTCCATTTGTTTGTATATATTTGCTGTAACGTTGTTGAAGCAATGGATTTAAATAATTTTCAAAAAAAGATCCCACTATCTATTGCCTCTCTTGACTTTTTACTTGAAAATTGAAACCATTTGACGTAGGCATCCTCAACTCCCCCACCTACATTGTCAAATTATTTGTGTCATCTTTTATTGTCGTCTCCCCCTCTTCCATCTCAGAAAAGAAGATGCCTCCTCCTTTGAAGTCAGTTCCATCCATCTCTTGATTGCATCCCTCCCTTCTGTGCCAAGCTTTTACCCATCGTTATCCTTTTTCAAACCTGGTGTTTGGACCCTTGTTGTTCTTGCCATCCGGCTACCATTCTGCATTCTCTATTAACAGTTCTCTGATTCTCCTCCAGGGAACCAAGTGCTTTCCTCTTCTGAGTCCATGTGCTTCCTTAGGGCTCCTTCTCCAGGCCTTGACCAACCAGTGGACTCCATCCCCATCAGGAAGGGGCCCTTCACTCCAGTCAAGCCAATCCAAGCCCAACCTGAGCTAATTTCAGGACTTTGCTTACGCAGCTGTGTGAAAGCCTTCTCTTCGGAGTGCACTGAACTTGAACTTGCAAAGACATGAGACTGATGCTACCACAGCCTGCTCGCCCCCACAGGGAACCCAGAAATGAAGCCACCATACGAAGGCTAGCAAGTCAGGCCAAGAAGTACCAATGGCATTGATTAGACCCTGGATCTATCCATGCCTGAAACCGAAACTTGCCCCATAGAGTCTTCAGTTATGTTAACTTAGAGTTGCTTTTTCAGGCATTTGCAACTGAACATTTTCTAATGAATAGCTGATGTTCTCTCAGACTCTTCTTCACATCATGGTCTAATTCTTGAAAGAACTGAATATATTTACCGCTTCCAATTCCATTCATTCCCTCATCTACTCTCTTGAAAGTCAAGACCCAATTGCAGTTCCAAGCCCACTTCTGTTTGACTCAGCTCTTAACTTCATACATTTTTCTGATGCTTTTCCAAGCCCAAGTGCCAAGGATCCTCCAGCACCTACTTTAAATGGCCATTTCTCAACCCTTGAATTCCTTGATTACACAAAAGCACGATTAACTAATCACCTCCTATATTCCAGAAACTTCCTCATCTGTTGGCTTCTATCCCTGAGTCCTCCCCAAGCTCTCCTCTGGCTTCTTTGTCTCCTGCTGTTCTCAAATATATGTGTTTCCCAAGGCTCTTTTTTTTTTTTTTTTCCCATTCTGCCTCTCTCCGTTAGTAATTTCACCCTGACTTCTTGTTCTAGCTGTGAATTACCTTTCACTTAAACAGTAGCCCTGCTCAAGCCCAAGTTCACGCCAAAGCTCTGTTCTCTTTTCCAGGTAGACCCTTGCACAGCTCCAGGTAGGTCATGCCCGCTTGATACCCCTCCCCTTCCGTTGTCTACAGAATCACGACTAGACCCTTGCATTCAAGTCTGACTTTCAACTTTCTCCATATTCTGGCCCTGTCTGCCTTTCCGAGCCCATTTTTGTTTGACTCAGATCTTAATTTCATACATTTTTCTCATGCTGTTCCAGGCACTTGGAATCATTTATATCTTACTTGAAATCCCCGTACCTAAGAGAATCCCCCCGTAGATTAAAAAAAAATACTCATTTTGTGTTTGATGAATGGGCGAATAGGCGAATGCTGGTGTCTTTCCCTGCATTCCACTGCCAGCTCTGCCTCCCTGCCTGATTCTGTCCTGATACTAATCCGACTCAGAGAAAGTTTCTCTCCAGCTCAGAACATCTTTCGGGTTTCAGCCCTTCTGCAGATGGAATTGCCACTGCTCAGCAGTTTGTTTTATAAAACAAACCTTTGGGGTTTCAACTGATTTTGTGTCTAGGCTCTTGTGCAAATCCATAGCTGTGCTTTTGAGGAAAGGCATGGCCTCATTTGGTCTCAGTTCTATATGGACGAGGAAGAGCCCTCGCTTGGGGGTGGAGGGACTTCTTATGCTCAAGTATTTCTGAACTGATACCCTGTAGGGTGTGGATCCCTTTTGAATGAATGGAACAGAATGCCTGTGTTCTAGGATCACTGAGGATCTCAAATTGGAATTTCATGGCAATCAGCTAATGGAAAATGAAATTAACTGAACTGACGACAGTCAGTGAAGCTGATCTACCTGCTTATATTCTGAGACCAGGGTCATCCAGAAGGCCTCTAATTGTAACGTGGATACCCATGTCCCAAGACATTTTCTTAAGAATGGAATTTCTCATTGCATAGTACTAACCTAGCATCCTGGTTATGGAGTTACCTTTTTTTTTAACTTGAGATTATTTATGTTGTAATGTCAAATGCGTCTACTTCTAAATTTTGTTTTTATCTGTGTGTAATCGAATCTCCAGAAAGATTCATACCTGAGTCAGTTTAGATATCCTTTGTAAACCTGCAGAAAAGATTTATAACATTGACTCCATTTGACAGAGTATCAATCCTTGAGGGGAGGGTATAGCTCAGTGGTAGAGTGTCTATTTAGCATGTACAAGGTCCTGGGTTCAATCCCTAGCACCTCCATTAAAAAAATAATAATAAAAGTAATTACCTCCCCCCCCCCAAAAAAAGAATATCAATCTTCTGTGCAAAAGACAAAGGCCAAAAAAGGGAGGGGGAGGGAGATAATAGAGACACTATATTACAAATCTTTTACCTCTTTTGACTTAACCCCTAGCATTTGGTATCTGAGTAGCCCTGTGGGGCTTCTGCAAGGTCCCCACTTCTAACCGTTGCATTCAGAGCTGCAGGCAAACCATGAGAGCTTGGAAATTTCCCCCAGGTTCTACCCAATAGTGGTCTGCACAGGAAAACCACTGGAACCAGAGGAAGTTTGGGGTGGCCAGGCAAAAAAAAAAAAAAACCCAAAACAGTCCATGTGAGTTTCCCTCCTCTCCAATAGAATTGACTAGGAAGGCTGCCAGTGACATTCATTGTTTTCGTGGGGATAGAGAAAAATTAAATTTACTTCTTTGAGACCACTTCTATAAATGTGCTCCCCTCTTTAATCTGGGAAGGCACAACTGAAAATTGACTTATTGAAGCAGTTAAGTTTTGTTTTTCTAGTATTAAAAAAAAAAAAACCTGAAGTCTAATTTCCATGAAGAAATGTTCTAAGAAATGTCTTCACATTTCTGGTAAACATCTGGCAAAGAGCCACTGTCCATTAATGTTTTTAAAAATGTACAATGGATAAAAAGCCTTGTGATAATTCCCCACAGAACAGAGAGTGAAGAGAATAGTTACCTCCCTTGAAAATATGATCTGCTTCTTTGCATTAGATCAGAAGGCTTAGGGAATCCCTTGGGTTTCTCTTTTTTCCATGCTGCCCAGAATCTCAGGATTACCTCCTCTGCTCAAATACAATAGCCCCCCTTACCTGCAACTTCCTGGCACTGCCTCGGTGCCATCTCCACACTGGATCATCCTTTAATGGTTTTGTTATTTTATCTTGCCCTTGAGTCTAGCTCATGTCAAATATTTTCAAAATACATAGGCTATAAACAAAATAAAACTTAAAAAACAAAAAACTAAAACAAATAGAGCTACGTAACAGTGACCTAGGATCATGGTGGGTAATGGGTCTTCCTAGATACTGGAAGTTTTCATGCACACGTTGGATGAACACCTGGCAGGGATACGCTGGAAAGAACAGCTGTAATTATTTCACAGTTTTAGGGCAAAGGACAGCCAAAGCAAATTCCAGGTAATAAATAAGGGGGGCTTTTTCCTTCCTGCTGTACTGCTTCGTGTTTTCATCTAGGACATCGCATCACGTCCCAGTAAGATCAATTGTGGTGAATGAAAGAAAGAAAGAAAGAAAGAAAAGACAAAACAAAAAGTGCATTCCTGTGGTATCTTTCAGATGGAGCATCCAAAACCTTGGCTG